ACAGTATATAACTGAAAGGTATAGATGCCCAACCATATAGAAATAGCATCATGATAGAAACTCCTACAAATATAATTATAGAAAAATTATTGAAACAAACTAATAAATGAAATAAGTACTAATTATTTATTCTTAAAATAAGCATCTAAACATTTCTCTCTTACGTAAAAAGAAATTTTAAAATAAGGAAAATATTAAGAAGATATTTTTATTTTATTTAACTACTTTACAATAAAACTAAGAATTTTATTTATTTTAAGTAACATAAACATAATCTAGAACTGCTTGATATTTATAATGCAAATTAAAACATGTCCTTTTTTTATTTTCTCCTGATACTTCAGAGATAAATTCTTATTTATTTTACCATTTATTATTCTGTTACTTATTTATTCATTTCCTTTTCATTTACATCATTATTTTATCAAAGGAGGGAAAAGTATAGTTAAATGTAAAATGGGAAATAAATATGATGTTTGATATCCATTTGATATTTTATAAGTAAATTTTGTGATAAAAAAAGAAGAAAAAAAGGGAGAAAAATTTTGAAAACTAAATGCACAGTTCAAATTTAACTTTAAAAATTTTATTGAATAAGAGCAAAATTTAATAAGATTTTGTTTCAAGCAAATGTTTGCTCTTTCAATATTCTATGGTTAAGGGTTTTCCTAAACTCACAGAAAAATAGTTCTCATGGTCAAACAAACCGGATGCTTCAGAGTGCAATCCAAAAAACACATGATGACTAAATATTGCAAGTGGAATCAAGAGCAAAAGAGACACGGCAAAATAAACTAAAAAATCCCATAGAAACGTTGCAATCCAATAAAGAGAAGCATTCAATCCTGTCATGAGTTGTAGCAATTTCGCTTTTGTGATACGTTCATGGAGAGGAACCAATACAAAACTTGCAGACAAGAATGCCAAACATAAAGGCATATAAACCATTGCAATTATTCTCTCTTTCATATTAAATTCATCATTGTAAATATTAAGATAGAGCTCTGGCAATGGGTCATTAGTCAATGTAATTGTTGCTTTGTCAGACACAATAGATCTCAAAACAGCCGTATGCATCAAAAGAAGTGACATAGGTAAAGTGTGGTATGGTTCTCCATTAAACCAAGCAGTCAAATTATTTGTTCCATTTGCATACACATCTACGGCTCCCCCTACCAACAAATTTTTTAAATATTTGGAAAGATCATCCTCACCATATTTTAGGATGTACTTTGTTGGATCATCAACTTTAACAACACTAACACCTTTTTCTGACAAAGTATTAGTAAACTGTTTAACTAAATTATCTTCTGATTGTTTTGAATAATAAAAACTATCTGTTTTTCCATAAACATGCTTTAAATCTAATTTTATAGGTGTATAAGAAATTTTAGAGTTATGTCCTGCCTCTTGAATCTCATAAAGACAGAGACATAGTATTAAGAAAGGTACTACAAGTTGAGCAATTAGGTTGCCCCAATGACGTTTAGAGTAGTGAAATCGTTTTATGAGAAGTCCAATAAGCTGATTCCATATTTGTCGTTCCTTTGTTTCACTAGAATCCCCATATATTTCTTGAAATAAAAGAAAACATAAATAAAACCATTATAAAATTATAAATAAATATTATTCAATTAAATATGAATAGTTAATGCTACATTGTACATTGACTATTAAGAAAAATAAAACATTTCAAATAATCTAAAAATGCAGATTATTGAGGTGACATTTTTTAATTTATTTTCACCGATAAACTTTGAAAACTGTGTTGTTGCTTTTTCTCATAAAAGTGATTTTAAGTATTTAATTTTTACCCTACCACCTCCCACCTCTTAAATATCATATTGTCAAATAGGTACAAAGATTTTTTTTCTTCTTAAATTTGATTGCACATCTGAAGGGTACTCCTTCTCTTCCTTTTTAAATAAAGCATTTGTAGAGAGCAGTATGAAATTCTGAATCATTAGTTGCTTTCT